TGGGTGGGTGGTGGTGGCGCTGCCGCCGCCGAGGGGGGTGTCGGGGCCGAGGGGGGTGGCGGGGGAGCGCGGGCCGGAGGGGCGCGGGAGGGCGCGGGGCGGGGGAGGGGGGGGGTGGTCGCGCTCGTAGCGGCGCCGAAGGGGACAGCAGGACGGGGGAGCGGCGGCTGCGCATGCGCGCGGGGAGCGGCCTGTGCGGCGCTGCGCGTGAGGGTGGGGGGAGGGGGGAAAGCGGGGCGCATGCGCGGAGCTGGGGACATCGACTCCCGATTTTTCCCTTGGCGTTGCCAGGCTGGCGGGAAAGCTGGGAAGGACTCCGGGAAGACCAAGACCAAAGCGGTGTCCCGTTCGCAGCGGGCCGGGTTGCAGGTGAGGAGGGGGCTTGGGATGTGGGGTGAGGAGAGGTCCGTCGGGTCTTCCCGTCTGCTGGTTGGTGATGCAAATTGTGGAGTTGCTGGTGTGAGTATGACATGCCGTGTCCTTCACTGGAATTTCAAGTGAAACACAGCTTGTGCATCTGCCACTGGGACTTTGCAGCCCAGGATGTGGTTTTGTGCAGTGGCTTTCTGCCGTCACAGCCTGTTCATGCTTCTGGTTTTTTTCCAGTTCCCTGTTGGCCGCATCCACAGGCACCTGAAGTCTAGGACAACCAGCCATGGACGTGTGGGTGCCACCGCTGCTGTGTATAGTGCAGCAATCCTGGAGTACTTGACAGCTGAGGTAAAATCTGCAGGGGGTGCAAGCAAGTTGGTCAAGTCCTAAATGCCATAATGACCATAGTCTGCTGTATCTTGCCAGTTTGGACTGGGTTATGAACTCTTCACTTGCTTTGAGCCAGTTTCAAGTGCATACGTTATCAGAATTTCAAGTGCATACATTATTAGAAGACTCTGAAATATGCGTGCTCTGCGTTTCATGCAAATCTGGTGCTGTGACTTGCAGGAAAAATGCAAGTGTGAAGTAACTTATCAAATGGGCCATTACAGCATGTCATATCTGCTGTAAACGTTCTCTTATTGGGGAAACTAAACGCTGAGGTCCAAAGGAGGAACCCTCTTGGAAGAAGCACTGTTTGCTGTCTCAGTGTCACTAACAGTGACACGGTATTTGAAACAGCTGAGACTGTGCAGTTGGTCTCACTTGATTTTGTAACTGTTCAAAAATGGTCTTGTCCCAGGTCCTTGAGCTGGCGGGAAATGCATCCAAAGACTTGAAGGTGAAACGTATCACTCCCCGTCACTTGCAGCTTGCCATTAGAGGAGATGAAGAATTGGATTCTCTGATCAAGGCAACAATTGCTGGTGGTGGTATGTCAATTGCTTGCTGTTTGTGGTGGTTGGGTGGAGGAGATGCCTCAGACTACAGGTTGCTTAGTACTGTCATTTTCATTTGAAGTACAAAGTTGAGGAAAACTGTTGAGAAATCATGAAGTCTTAATTGTTGCTCTTTCTTAGGTGTAATACCGCATATCCACAAGTCTCTCATTGGCAAGAAAGGACAACAGAAGACTGTCTAAAGGATACCAGGATTCCTTGTTATCTCAGGACTCGAAGTACTTAATTTGTCCAGTGTTGGTGATTCCAGTGGACTGTATCTGTGAAACACGATTTTGCCTTTTTTTAACTTTAAGAAGCTGAAGCTCCCTTGAGCTTTCTAACAAACCAAATTTCTGCATTGAAGTCTTAACTGTATTTAAGTGTTACCATGGCTTCAAAGAAGCTATTGTGTTTGTAGTGGGTTTTAATTGAGTTGGCTGTTTCTAGATTGGTTTGAGTAAGTAAAGGAAATGTTTGGTTTTGTACAGGCGTTTCATCCACTAGAGTGGAAATACTCAATAAATGTTATGTCAAGACTGATATGTCTCTTCATAGGGGGAAAAGGGTCTGTCAGGGAGGAGGAGGTGGAGGGATGTTGAAAATCTGTGTTTCACTTGATTTTCTTTGTTAGTGCCTGGCCCCTCTCACTGTTCCAGCCTGTAGAATAAGCTCTGGGGAGAGCTGTGTGTGAGCAAGGGGGCTGTACTGCAGCAGCCCTTAACTCCTGCCATGCAGCAGTATCTTCAGTAGCAATGGATTAGGGAGGGGTTCTGGTCACATCTTCAGCTGTTCTTCTCCAGCTCTCTGCTCGTTCATTTTTACAGCAAAGCCCTGCTTATTGCTGTGGTCAGGGAAACCTTGGGGTGAAGCAAAGAGGATGGTTACTGTGTGTGGCTGGGGGCAGTGGCCTTCCAGAGCTGCATCTGTAGCAGTGAAACGCTTCACAGGGAGATGCTTTTGCTGTGACCAGGCTCTTCTGTTTCTATAAGCTCTTGCAGGCAATAATCTCTGCCGCAGCACTGTAGCTGGGAGGCGGTGACCTAGATCGGAGCTGCTGGCTAGACCTGTATATTAACTGCGCTCCTCCTAGCGCTGCGGTGCTTCCCTGGAGCAGCGCCCGAGAGCGCTTCCTTCGCGGCAGCGCTGTCCTTGCCGGGATGTAATTGATATCGCTAATTACAGGGTGCTAACAACTACCCTGAGGCCCCGTAAGCACCGGCAGCTCTCGGGCTTCTCTCACAGCGGTGCGGGAGCGCACACGGTATTTTTTTCCATCGTGGCGGCTCCTTCCCGAGGCCGTGCGGGCGGGGCAGCGTCGCTCTCGGCCGGGACGATCCTGGTGCTCCTGTCCCGTCCCCGCCCCTGCCGGCCGGGTGAGCGGTCGGCCCCGGGTGGGCGGGGCGGCGCATGCGCGGCGGGTCCCGGAAGCGGCCCGCGCGGATGCCGGTGGAGCGGCGCCGGGGCTGCGGCAGCGGCGGGATGATCCCTGCGGAGCGAGGGAGCCCCGCGGAGTGAGGGAGGGAACCCCGCCCGACGCCCCGCTCCGCTCGCGGGCCCTCCGCCCCGGCCGCCTCCGCTCTGGCTTCGGGCCCCTTCTCTCTGCGCTGCGGCGGGCGGAGGCGGCGGAAGGAGAAGCCCATGGAGGGGAACCGGGACGAGGCCGAGAAGTGCATCGGGATCGCGCGGGAGGCGCTGGAGGCCGGGAACCGCGACCGCGCCCTCCGCTTCCTCGGCAAGGCGCAGAAACTCTACCCGACCGAGACGGCCCGAGGTGAAGCCCGGCCCCCTCCCCACTGCCCGGCGTTGTCGGGACGAGCCCGCAGCGAGCGCGGGGCCCGCAGGAGGGCGGTCGGCGGGGGGGCCCCGCACCCCGGGGGGGGGCCCGCAGGCCGAGGCGAGCGCGACCCTGCCCCCAGAGCCAGCCCGGCTGGGCTCCGGCGGGGAGAGGAGGCCAAAGGATGTGCCCGGGAGCAGCGCTCAGAGCAGGTGGATTCCCACCGCTAGTGCCTGCCTCTGGCCTCAGGCGGTGCGGAGGAGTGGGCTTGGTTCCCCCCGCGCCCAAGGGTATCCCCCAGGGCCGGCCCAGCGCCTCGCCCGCGTTCCCCCTCCTCCCTCAGCCGTCAGTATAAACGCAGCCATACAGACTAGGCTTAGCCCCGATTAACAGCGGGACATTTCAGGCCCCAGGCCGAGACAGGCTGTGTTGGCCTTTCTGCTGTCACTGTGAATTACCCCTCGATAACAGCTTGCAGTAAGAGCTGCAGTCCCGGAGAGGACCATGTCTTCATTCTATAATTTACCTGCAGTTTTGGTTTTGTTGGTTCCCTTTTGGTTGTACATAGCTACGTAGGAATTGCACATGGGTTTACCCTTCCTAGGGAAAATGGGATAGGTGGCTCCCCCTAGGCCTTCATTGGCTCATCTGACAATTAATTCTGTACTAAAAATTAAAAAAAAAGAATTAGCATGTTTCCAGCAAAAAGTGTTTAGAAATAATTTTTTTAAGGGAACGATAGTGAGGTTTCAGTGTGCGCTGGAACTGTCACTTGACTTGGGGTCTTCCTGTTACACTGTGCCAGAAGTCAGCTGGAAACACCTTTGGACGCAGCAGTGACTTGTTGCGTTCCTCTGGTTCTCACTTACGTGGTCTGTGCTGTGGAACGAGTAGGAACAACTTCAGTTCTCTGTACTGACCTAAAGTCCTCAGCATTTGCCATTTCTGGAACATGACTCTGGGGCAAAATCCTGACTGGAAGTTTTCTATGCTGCATTTTATTCTGTAGTAAAGCCTTTTAAGTCGGGTGAGCAGATTCAGTGAACATTTTTGGGCCTCTTTTTTCTCCTGACTGCTTTTTATATGCAAACAATAAGTGAAGGTCTCACTGTGCTTTTTTTTTTTTTTTTTTTTTAACAATGTTTAATTTTTCAAGTGTTTGGTTTTTCTCCTACAAGACAATGTAGATGCTGTCATACTCCCCTTAAAGTCTATGGCTAGAGAAGACGACATGCATGAACGTACTTTCAGCTTTCTGGAAGCTGTGTGGGTCAGGAGGCAGGAAGGCAGAGAGTTTCAGTTCAGCTTCTTTCACCAAGGAGAGCAGATAGCTTTGTCTGCTTCACGTAGGTCATTACCCTCTTATATCTCCAAGATAATAGTTACAGTAGCTTTCAGGGAAAAAAAATCTCCATCTAGTTTGTTTTGAGCGTTTGGGTTTTTTTTAAGTAGGACTGCCACTACATAACCACCACTAAAAAGTATTCAGTGCAAGAAATAGATGGCTAATTAGGCTATTGTCTGTAGGACACTTGTTTTATTCACTGTGGAAATTAGTAAAAGTGAGTCACAAATGAGGTACAGACCTGGTGGAAAGAAGATGGTTTTGTGGTTATGACAGTGGACTGTAATCTGAGGAATTGTGTCCTGAAACTAAATGCTTCACAGAATTTCTCTGTGATGTTAAGTAAGTCACTCCATTTCCGTTAGTGACCGGCTAATTGTTTGTGCTTCCTTTTTCAGGTATTCAGCTTGAAACAAGGGCCTGGTTTGTGGAACTGGTGGGCAGTTAAAGCTCCATCTGAAGATAATGAGAATTGTAGATGCCCTAATACCAATGAAAAAATTCAGTGGTACCCTAGGCCTGATTTGAACTAGGTACTTAGAAATTAGGGGACTCTGTAAACTTGTAATATTGTGCTTCAGTTTTCTAGCTGTGGAGGTTGTTAATTCTTTTAAACTCATCTCATTCCTCCCAAAACAACACCAACTGATTGAATTTAATTTGGTTTTAAAGTTTTTGAGGCACTTAAATGGCCTTGCTAAAGGTGCAGTAAGCTGCAAGGACACAGAATGTCCTTTTTTCAGGACAGGAGCTGGAAGGTGTGCAGTATGTTAGAACTGGCATTTTACAGTGACTAAGAACAAATGAAATTACTCCTATTGACATCTAGATAAATTAGATGGGGGGGCACTTGAAGAAAAAAAACCTGTAATTCATAATTCATGTAGTTAAAAATGTGCCATAGCACTTACCAGAGAGAAAGAAGAGTTAAGGTTTTTGTGAGCCTTTTTAGTTTGAACACAAACTCTTATTTTACAGTCAAAATGTGTTGGGTTTTTTACCATGATAGGACAATATGGTGCAACTCCAATGTGCTCACTTACTTTCTCTTTGGGGTATGAATTAGAAGGTAGCTTGCACCAATTTCTCACTGAAGTCACAGATCCTTCATATGTTATATCTTCAGTATAATTTTGAGAACAATTGCCCACCATTTCACAAACGATGTTCTGTCAGTCATAAAAGCCATGAGAATGGTAGTGCTGAATCTTTTACTGGTGGGAGCTTCCTCCTCCCAGTGTCCTAGTGGATTATAAAAGGACAGAGAATAGGTTGTAACTATTGTCTCTAAAACAATACTATGTGTGATTTGCTTTTGGCAACATTTGCATTTAAAGGGCATGCAGCACTAGTTCATTCATCAGTGAAGTTTAGTTTTGACAAACAAAGCTTCTGCCTGAAATACGCTGACTGCAGCTGTGCTATTTTAAGGCTTTACTAGTGTGAAATGTAAGGTCAGTGCTTATTTACTGATGCTTAGCTAATGACTTCATAGTAGCAGTTTTATGTTGACGTCACTCTTTGCTAGAAAACTGGTTTACAGTTCACCTGTTCAAAAAATGGTTTGATTTTTGATAATGATTCGTCTTAAAACTGAGCGGAAACTAATTGCTTGTCTGGAAAAGATTTGTAAGAGTGGATTTACTGATAACAAAGGACAAGATGTCCTTTCCAAACTTAGGTGCCATTCTGTTTGAAGACAAAACAACATCAAGGGAAACTATTTTTCAGTGCTTCTGAAGGTTTTCTTGCCCTATTTCTGATGTTGCCTTTAAAAACAAATTTTTTGGGAGCATGTCATCACCTTAGCTTTTAGGCTGTTGCAATAGGACAAATCCTGAATTAAACAGTTCTTCCATTAGTGAAGGAGGGGGGGTCAAGTTCAATGCATAATGGAACCAAATGCAGTTCAAGGATCTTTCATTCAACAGTGGGTAATAGTACACACAAGAGAGGCTTCAGACACATTCAGAGATAAGATTCGTTGTCTTACCTGCTAACAAAATAAGTCTTTGGTTCTTTGTATGTCCTTTTTTAAAATATGTAGATGCACGGTGAAAGCTTTCTTTAATACACTGTTAATACTACAGTTCTAACAGCTGGTGTTATCACTGGCACTACATGGAAAAGTCAGAGTTGCTCCTGAATATCTCAACTATATCTTTTCTGTGAAGAAAGCAATGGCCCCATACCCTTTGTACGGTTTTCTTTTTCAACATGAAACAATAGCATGTTTGTTTATACTGTCCTGCTATTTTAAGAAGTGCACACTTAGATAGTTGAATTTTATTTTTTTTAACCACCCTGCATTGTCTTCTCAGCAATGCAGCTCCCTTGTGAAGTCTGAGAAGGTGAAATAGCAATGTTGAAAGTATACTGCAGCCAAACCAATTCACTAAGAGATTTAGAGCTACACTCGCC